TGGCACCCCTGCTACAAAACATTAAACAATATTGTTTTTAAATAGTATATTTTTGCTAAGATGTGTGTATTCTAATTAATATGAATTATAAAAACATGACATCATTGCATCAGTTCCAACTAAATATTTTTATTTATTTATTTATTTGCACCGCAAGCTCTTTAGTTTTCTACAACCTTTTCCGTCATCCTTACCTGTTTTGATGTGGTTTTGTTTTGGCTGTCTGGGGGGGAAACAGCGCCCTCTGGTGGTCATCTTGAAACGTGGTCCTGCTGCGGTCTGAGTTCAAGAGGGCCCCTGCCTGCCTGCCTGCCAGCGGAGGGAAAGCTCAACAGCAACAGGACAAACAGACCACATTATTCGTCTAGTAAAATTAAATAAGACTAAAGGGAAACATGTTTAAACATCACAGGTAAGACCCGTTCGCCGGGCGTCACTCCAGCTTTGTTGTTCTTTGTAGCTTGTTAGCTAAATCTGAGCGTGACGTGAGAAAACGTCCCAGCTAGGTCTGCGTGTGTGGGGCTCACCGAACACTGTTCAAAAATGAACGAAAATTAAGCTGAAGGCGACTTAACCCGGTAATTATTGTCAAAATCGTTTTGGGGAATAGTTTTGATGAAACTGTGGGTGATTCTACGCGATTCGGCTTTCAATTTTTAATCATGAGACTCTGATGTAGGTCAGTCCAGCTTCTGTTAGCTGAAAACTTGCCAGTTTGTTGTTGGCTGCCACAGTGACATATTTGACATAAAGGCAAATATAATATTGTGTTTGTGCACTCCGAAACATCTCCGTAGCTGAATGCTCCTTCTACCTAATTAAGGAGACTTTTGTTATCGTTGCCACATTAGCAGTTAATGGTAAGACGTCTGGTATGAGAAGAATGACTTTCTGTCTAATTTACCTGTTAAACATGTTGTAGGTAATTGAAGCCAATATGTGACTTCAAAGCTTTAACCATCTGTCAGGAGTGTTTCTATCAGCTGGTTTCTCTCATGATGAAAAAAATGAACACAGCTGACAGATAGAGCTCTTACTATGAAATAAAATCAGCTTCATCGGTCTGTTTTTAATGTACACCATCATTAATTAGTTTTATAAACCTAAACACCACAATAATAGTTTGTTTTGCTGCTATCATTAAGTCTGGCCAGCCTTTAAATATAAAGTTATTTACAGTTTTATTGGTTTTCTGKTTTTTTTTACACATAATTCTCAGTTTCATAAATCATAAATGACACACACATGATGATCAATAATTCATCTGCTCTTACTGTTTGTTTTATTTATGATATAGTTTGGGGACAAGTTAATTCAATTTAGAGGTCATCCCTTATATTTTTTGTCAGATAATGTAAATAATTATGTTTCTGATGTTTCCACAGGGCCTTTAAAGGAAACAATGACCCCTTAAGCTGAATATTATTACAATACCTCACCGTCAAACAACACTGCCGGGGCTCAGCTGGGTCAGTGTTGGTGTGAAAAGCCTTTATTTTTTAGTAGGTAAAGTGGAAGGGGCAGGATCTCACAGCTCAGGAACATGGCTTCACCCTTTGTGCCTGTCCCGGTTCCCATGGACAAATCCCTGTTAGGTCGTAAAAACAAGCCGAGACGGCCACAGCGAGCTGCTTCTCTCGGAAGCGTCTCKGGCAGCTTGGCGTCCTCGTCGCCCGTCGCTGAGGAAGAATATGAAAGAAGTTCTCCGCGTCAGTCCCGCTGCAAAGACAGAGCCGGCCGCAGCCGGACGCCACCGCCCCTCCAGAGCCCCGTGACACGGGCCAAGCTGAATGGGTCCCTGGAGCCCTCTGTGGCGTACTCGAGCTGCCCTCRCTCCGTATCGGATCCTGCTGGGAGCCAGCAAGTAGAGGAGAGGCCGATCACCCCGACAGTGCTGGGGTACGAGGTCATGGAGGAGAGGGCCAAGTTCACGGTGAGAAAACACAAAGAAATGATCCATAAACGTGAAGAAGGCTTCACCTAATCGGATCAGAACTCATTATTGATCCCTTTGGTTRAACAGGAGAACCGATTAGAAAATGTGCTTGTGATCATCTCTGCTGCAGGTTTATAAGATCCTGGTGAGGAAGACTTTCGATGAAAGCTGGGTTGTGTTCAGACGATATGCAGACTTCTCCAGACTCAACGACAAGGTGTGTGTGATTGTATGAAGGGGAAGAAAAAAAAACAATGTCAAGRCTATCTGGAGCTCCGCTTTTTTTGTTATTGCACTTCGATGTTTGCAAACACTTGGTTATCAGTCRTTCACTATCAAGAGGCTTTGTGTTTGAGTTCATAGTGGAAGAGGTTGGAGMTGCACAAAGAGGCCTTCTGTTCAGAACAAACAGCTCAAAGGCCCGAGCCAACTAGGTGAACGGTTTTGTCGAGGTTTTGAAAAAAAAAACAGGGTTTGTTACAAATTACTAAAGTGGAAAATATGGAGCCGTTTATTGGTCGTTCATGTGGAAAAATACAGTGCTTTCATACAAAGTATAAAAAGTAAAGTCTAACAGATGCAAGCATGAAGGGCTTTGCACATTTTATCTGAGTTTTACTAAACACTGCAAACGGAAAATAAACAAAAAAAAAAAGGAAAAGCAAATAGGAACACCCTGCTGTTCATCCTGTTCCTGCTTTTCCCACAGATGCAGGAGCTTCACCTGATCAGCTTTAACCTGCTTACATATTGGTCGGGTTTGAACAAGTTTTTGATCATCATTTTTCATGGTCGCCTCTGTTCAGATGTGTTATCACTGTCTGGACAAAAGGGAATGTAAGGTTAACGTAGGGCTGCGCAGTAGATGGTAGAAATGATATGAAGTTGGCCTACGGTAGAAATTTACCCTCTACCGTCCTGTTGTCAGTAATGTTATCACACCTGTGTCAACAGGGCTGCGAGTGCAGAGACAACTGAGCAGGAGGAGTTTGAAACATAATGAAGAAATATAGTTAAAACACGTTTAGAGAGAATAAATCCTCAAAATTTCTCCCTCCCGCTGTACAAATGTTATGTCGGGATCATTTCCTCCCTCCCCGCTGCACGTCGCGCAGAACGAAGCTTTAAAAACGTAGTTTTTTCACACCCAAGTTGTCGGAGAAAAAACTTGTTTTTATGTATTGTTACTCACAGAGATGATAAAAAGACGTGGACGTTCGTTCAGTCATAAATCCATCGTCCTAATGTAGCCTAAAGTCGGCTTCTGCTCTGATGATGAAGATGAGAGCACAGCAGAGCAGCAGTGGGTCAGTTCAGCAGGCAGAAGCTCATTGTATGGCAGGCAGATGTTACATTTATTTGGCTTCACCACACTTACATTCCAGTTATCTGAAATGGTTTTATGGCAGGACTATGTGCAGCTTAAGCCCCTTAAGGTCCTGTCAGACTACAACATTTTAGGCAACATTGAATTTTTTATGTCTAAATTAATTTTACTTGAAGTTCTGGTTATAACATCCACTTTATTTTGATATTGTTGAAAATTTGAGAAATGTTTTTGTTCGTTGTTGAAACCGTTTTGCAAAATATAAAAAACATTCTTTTATACTTCTGTTATGTTCATTTGCACTACAGCAAAAATRCTGGGTTTGATTATGATTACAGTTTTCTGCAAAAATAAATGCTCTAAAAATTACATTATCTTTACTTTTTATGATAATTTTCTACCGCGATATATACCGTTACCATGAAGGGATTCAATTTATACCGTGATATGAATTAGAGGTCATACCGCCCAGCCCTACGTAGGTTAATGTAATGATGCCTTTACTGTGCAGATCTTAAGTTTTTAAGTTTTCTGCTGTAAAGGTTGGGATTGGATTCTGCCACCAAAAGACACATACCATTAATAAAGTAATGTTTCAGGCAACAAAGATGATCTCAGTATGTCAAGTGGTGACGCATCCTTTTTACAACGTCACAAACAACATAGTTTGTTATTAAAAGCAAAGGTTCAGATCTTTTAAAATGAAATTCTGTTGAAAGTGAACACTTTATATCTTTGTTGTAGATTTCTTGTTAGCGGAAGCAGCAGCAGCTAGCTGTAGCACTTCTGTCATGAATATATATTATTTTGCTGTAATAAAATTGTAATGCAAAATTAACAGTGACTTCAGAGTTTTTAGGACATTTTTGAATGAACTGCTATGTTATATAATAATAAATATGTCAGATATTCTGCAACAAGTTTTCATGTCAAACTGGCCTTTAAACAAACCGCAGCTGTGGCTGAAATTTCAGATCCTGTTTTCAAACTGCAGCTYCTCTTGTTAAAGTTCAAACTCTTAACGAGGTCAGAGATAATAGGCAGCGTTTCAGGAAAAGACAACAGCCATCTTAGTTGTGAGCTACAGCAGTAAGGAGTGTCAAACCCTCAGGTCTTGATCCCACATGTTGATTTTATCAGAATTTTATTATAAAGCTGTGAATATTAACTATTTCATCTTCTGTTGTGTTACATAGTGGTGATCATGTGCTACTCATTCCTCACACAGCGTGTGTTTGTATGTTCCAGCTCAAAGAAATGTTTCCCAGCTTCCGGCTCTCGCTGCCCCCTAAGAGGTGGTTCAAAGACAACTACGACAGCAACTTCTTAGAAGACCGACAGCTGGGGCTTCAGGCCTTTCTGCAAAATCTGGTTGCACACAAGGACATCTCTAACTGGTGTGTAACACAGACCAGTGTTTTTTTTATTGTTAGCAGCTGCTTTTATGCGATTACTGTATTTCTGATATGATTAAGCCATTCAGAGCGAGTAATAAAATGCTCCCAAAACAAAAATAAAACCTGGAATATAAGTTACTTAAAGTGCATGATGCATGCATATCATTCAATTTAAAAATAGTCAAAGAAAACATCTTTTAATTTAAGAAACTTTGCATAATGCAGGTCCTTCTCAAAAAATTAGCATATTGTGATAAAGTTCATTATTTTCTGTAATGTACTGATAAACATTAAACT